AGGTTTGTTACATATGTATAACATGTCCACGTTTGGGCTGCACCCGATTAACCGTCCATTACATTAGGTATATCCCTTAATGCTAATCCCCTCCCCCTCCCAACCCCACGACAGGCCCCGGTATGTGACGTTCCCCTTCCTGTGTCCAGTGTTCATTGTTTCAATCCCCACATATGAAAGGGTAATTCTTCCCTAAACCTCACTTACTTCCCGGTAAAGAGAGGTAAGGGTATGTACAAGGCCTCCAGGCAAATCCACAGTGAGACATGTCCCCGAGTTGGACCAAGGAACCCCCAATGAGGCCTGATTTCTGCCTTTTGACATCCCTTCCTGTCATCCAAGCAGGATTGTTACAAAATTAAAATAGTACTCCGCGCCAGCGCGGTGGGGCCCCACTAATAGAGGTGAATGCCGGTCTAACAGCCAGCGGTATCTGGTCCCTCGATGCTCTGGGGACAGGCGGCCCCCCCAGCCGGGTGTCAGAAGGTGGTGGATGCAAGCGCCGTCCAAAACCGACTCCAGCCGCCATCAAATTATTTCCATTTAGGTGCCAATTGTTTTCAATGGTAAATCAAACCCACTGGTACCCTCTACAACTGAGTTTTTGTTGATTTTGCTTCAAATCCTTTGATCTTTGCACAACAACAGATCCCCATCTGGTTCCCCTGTAAGTCACGATGCCAGGCTGGAAGGGATAAGCAACCCCCAGCGGAACCTCGGGGTCAGACCCGGCCACACGACCAGCTTTGGGACCCTGGGCCGTGGAACTGACTTCTCCTGACCAACCAGGATGATCCGCCCAACCCACCTCTACGCACGAAACGTCCTAGAAAACTCAAAGACATCACGACCTATGAAAGTCCAAACGGTGGCCTGGCAACCAGAGGCAATGGCGCCAAATAAATATCTCCCCTCCGCGCGTGCGTCCGCTCCTCCTACCGAGGAGTTAGAAGAAAAGTTTGCCAGGGCCCCCAGGGAGCTCCAAATCCATCAATGTGCCACCCTGCTTTAATAAAAAGGGTTAATACTATCTGCCTTACCGTCACCTTTAAGGCTCTGTGGAGGAATTTAAACGAATAGGAAACATATTTAAGCCCACTTATTTCCCTCCAAGAGAGGACACCCAAGGAGTGTAGGAAATACCATTCTATCAACGCCCTGCACGGAGATCCTCCTCCACAACTGGCATGAAAGGAATGTACCATTTCACTCCCATCCTCCTGCAATAATCCTAATTCAATTTAACCAGAAATCCTCAATTCGGAGAAGCATCTCCTTGTTTCACAGGCAATATGGAAACTACTCCAGATCCTGCCCAGAAAATACCGCCAATATGAATTTACAGTTTTATCTTCCAAAGCAATCCTGAAAGTCTAAGACCTACATGAGGCCGAGGGAATGCAGGCACTGTGCGCCTCCTTTACTTCAGCCAGTCCCCCTGTGCTCCTTTTTCCTGTTAGATAATGCACTGATACTCCACAGAACAGAGGCAAGTACCTATATTTATTATTCTATCTAAGGAAGAAACCCTGCCAACGCGGTGGTCACGCCTTATTCCCAGGACTTTGGGAGCGAGGCGGGCAGATGACCTGAGGCCAGGAGTTTGATGACAGCCTGACCAATAATGGCCAAAAAACCCCCGTGTCTCTACTAAAAAGTACAAAAATTAAGCCCTGATGGTGGTGGTGCACGCCTGTATCCCAGCTACTCCAGAGGCTGAAGGCCAGGAAGAATCGCTAGAACTCAGGAGGGGAGGTTGCAGTGAGCCGAGATCCTGCACGCCACCTCCAGCCTGGGTATGGAGTGAAGACCTGTCTCCAAAAAAAAGAAGAACCCCTAAGAAAAATTACCATCGTTTTCAAATGTAGAAGAAATCTTAAATGTTTTCCATCACCTCCCAATATTTAAAAATAAGAAGGAAACATAGAAGTTCTTCCATAAATAACAATTAAAGCCCAATATACACCTGGGCGCAGTGGCCAACACCTGGAATCCCAACACTCTCCGGAGGCTGAGGTGGGAGTATCCGCTTAGGCCAGGAATTCGAGACCAGCCCCTGGGCAACATAGTGAGGTTCCTGTCTCTATAAAAAATAAATAAAAAATATGGGGGGGGAAGGATATTAGGAAAATACTAATGCATGCCAAGGCTTATACCTATGTGCCGCAACCACTATGGTACACCATTACCCATGAACAAACCTGTCATCCCTCACTGTACATGGACTAAAATAAAAAAGTAATTTAAAAAAAAAGCTGAAGCCCGGCCGCAGTGCTCCATGCCTAATCCAGCACTTTGGGGAGACGAATGGCAAGATCCACAAAGGTCAGAGACAAGACCGATCCCCTGGCAAACATGGTGAAAACATCCTACTTAAAAATACAAAAATTAGCTAGGCCATAGCCAAGTACGTGCCCTGTAACCAGCTACTTGGAGGCTGAGGCCAGGAGAATTGCCTGAAACCCGGGAGGCGGAGGTTGCAGTGAGCTGAGACTCAGGGCCACTGCACTCCAGCCCCAGGGTGACAGAGCCCTAACCTCTTGCTCCAAAAAATTAATAAAATTAAAAGCTCAAGAGGATTTTAAAAAAGATACCAATGAAATAAAAATGGTACATTAAAAACTAAAAATAAAAAACATAAAAACATAACTTATATCTCTAAAAGAGGCGAAAAAAAAATACCTCATCTTGAAAAACCTTCCAACCTAAGAAGTAACAAAAAGGCCTAAATCCCTATTGAAAACATACACCACAAAAAAAACAATATGGCCTTTATTTTTTCATAATATTTCAAGCATACAGAATAAATATCCCTTATGTACCTAACACACAGCTTATCAAAATTTATCATTTTGTCCCCCAATCTGCTATTTTTAAAAAATAAAGCATGTATCATAGAGTCCCACTCATTATTTTAAGTCCTCAGTTTCTCTCTCCACTCCAAATAATCACCTTTCCAGATTCTTTCCCAAAAATAAACCTTCTATGGGACAGGCGCGGTGGGGTAAATCCCACACATTTGGGATTACCAAAGAGGCCGAGGCGTGATCATCTGAAGGTCAGCGAAGTTCAGACCAACCCCTGGCCAACTGGCGAAACACTGTCTCTACCTAAATAAATACAAAAATTAGCCGAGCATGGTGGTGGGCGCCTGTAATCCCAGCTCGCGGGAGACTGCAGCAATGAGAATCACTTAACGCCCAAGAAGGCAGAGGTTCGCAGTGAGCCCAAGATTGTTGACACTGCCACTCCCACGGGCACAGCAAGACTCTGTCTCAAAAAATAATAATAAATAAATAAATAAAAAAATAAATAAATATCCTTCTAATGCTGTAGATTCTTTTAAATAAAAGTCCTGCTTTGCATTTGAAACTCACAGAATCCACTACACCACTTTTTTTTTTTTTTTTTTGAGACAGTTCGTCCTGTCACCCAGGTTGAGTGCAGTGTGAAAATCCTGGCCACTGCCAAACCCTTCCACCCTCTCGGGTTCAACGTGATTCTCTGCTGCTCAGCTGATTCTCCTGCCTCAGTCTCCCAAGTAGCTGGGAATACAGGCATTTGCCACCATGCCCAGCTAATTTTTGTATTTTTAGTAGAGACAGTGTTTCACCATGTTGGCCAGGCTGGTCTCAAACTCCTGACCTCAGGTGATCTGCCCACCTTGGCCTCCCAAAGAACTGGGATTACAGGCGAGAGCCACGGCACCCAGCCCACACAATTTTCAACAGCCCTTTCCTGTGCGAGGCCATGCTGGTGAGGTGACCACACATGCCACCACCACCCTTACTTCTACTAGATGCCACCTGCTAGGGGCCAGCACCACCCATGCACGTCTG